CGCGCACCCTGACCTTCCAGGAGGGCTAAAAAATAGCACCTGACTTAAAAACCTATCCCAAAGCTCTTCTACGTCTTGGTTTTAGGCTGTTTCGCTCAGCTTTTCAGGTTTTTAGGTCTCGAGTGCTAGAAAATAGCTCTCTGGAAGGTCAGGGCAGGATAGGCCAAACGCCGTATGGGCAATGGCTGATCCACACACCACCCACAGACAGGGCAGCGGCTCAAACGGCGCGCGGCCCCTGGGCAAGGCGACAAGGCAAGGTTTTTTGTTGGGGGGGGGCCACGCTTCCCGAAGCAGTTCGGAGGCTCCAGGCCTCGGCCACAAATGTGGCCCGGAATACAACCACTGACTGCGGAGGTGAGATGCGAGGTCTCAGGATCGCCTCCTCAGGAGCGAGGAGGCAAATCCGTGACCTGCCAGCTCACCCGCCAGAGTTAGTCTGATCCAGAACCCTCGTAATGGCGAGGTATCGGGACCAGCTGCGCATCGTTCTCCTCACCTCGGAGGGCCGACGACTCGCTCTGCAAAACAAGCGGACAAGGCAGGGCGGTCAGCATGCCGGCTCCGGTGCTGGCGCGGCCCCCTGCAGGGCAGACGGATAATCTCGCGCAGTATCGGCGACAATTTGCGCAACGTGACAGAACGAATAAAAGACAAGAGGGGCGAGGGAGGAGGAAGGGAGGAGGGGGAAGAAGAAAGGGAGGAGAGGGGGAACACATGCCCGTGCACAACGTGTGAAACATGCAAACATCACGCCTTGAGAGAACCTTCCCATCGCAACCGCGGTCGATAGGGTGGCGACAAAACAAATCCGCCGCCGTGCCTTCGGCACGTGGAGTGCTCCAAGGCTCACGGCAGCTCTGCGAGGTAAAAGGTTTGTGGTGCACAAGGGTTCGGTCCTGGCCCGAACCCCGGTTTCCCAGCAGGTCCTGGGTGGTCCTGAACGCCGCCGGAGTACGCCGCCCGAGCTTTTGGGACGCTGAGAGAGCCCCTGGACAGGCTAAGAGGACCCGTAGGCGTCTTCGATGTACCACGACCACAAGTCTGGCCACAATTCACGGAACAAAATTGAAGAGAGCTTGCCCCTGCCATCCAGAGTTGAAGCCAGCACATTGAGGTGTAAGAACGGGGAGGCATCCAGCCAAGAGCCCAATGCGCCCGTCAACTTTGAAGGAACCGCTCGACAAAGAGTACCCAAATGCGCCTCTCAACTTTGCAGGGGCCGTTCAAAGCCGCCTGGCGGCGTCGCATTATTTGCGACTGGACTTGCTGCAAGACGCACTGCGCACACAACGGCGGTGTCATAACAGCAGTACGACACATCCACTGCCCTGGGCCGGGCCCATCCTGGGGGCTCAGGGGCGGTGTGCGCGACCTCCTGGCTTCGCCAGGGATGCCTGTGCCACACCGCCCCTGGGCCCGCGATGGGTCCTCTTCCCAGGGGCAGTGGCAATGTAGAGGTCTCGCCGCCCGACCCCACCTCGCAGCTGCCCACATGCTCTCCTTGGGATCTCCGGATGTCCACGAGCTCCTGCAGATATGAAGGGGCCCTGGGACACACGAATAAATAGACACACGCAACAGGATTCCCCATATTTCCCCATATTTTCTGGGTCTTTGTCTTCCCACCCACTTCACATATTTTCCCATCATTTTCCCGGGAGTCGACGATTCATTGTGTCTGTGTGTTTTTTCCCCTCCTGAAGACAACAGGCCCCCGTCCGTGGCAGGGCCGGCGCCCTGCCCTGCGCTGCTCGACAGCGCTGCAGCCGCGCGGAGCGTCCCGAAGCTCCCTCCTCCTCGGAGGAGGAGGACGAGGGGGAGGAGGAGGAGGAGGAGGAGGAGGAGGAGGAGGAGGAGGAGGAGGAGGAGGAGGAGGAGGAGGAGGAGGAGGAGGAGGAGGATTACGGGATTACAGCCTTCGCGTAGCGAAAAAGGAGGAGGAGGAAGACGAGGAGGAGGAGGAGGAGGAGGAGGAGGAGGAGGAGGAGGACGTCGACGAGGACGAGGGGGAGGAGGAGGAGCCCCCCGCCCCCGCTCCTCCCCCCCTGGACTTCTTGCCGCCCCGAAGCTAGGAGGAGGAGCCTCCCTCGCTCGCTGGCCTTGCACTGGGCGTATACGCCCTCGCTCCAACGGTAGCTCGCGCCTCGCGGCTCCGTTGACGCGCCTTTTGCACGCACTGGGCCCTGTGGAGACGGCTAGGACGAAGTATGGCTGCTGCGTTCCCTTCAACTGGGCGTCTGCCCTCGCGACAACGGTCGCTGGCGACTCGCGGCTCCCTTTACGCGCCTCTTGCACGCATCGTGCCCTGTGGAGACGGCTGGGACCAGGTACGGTGATGGCATTGGATGGGGAAGCCTTCGATGAGGAAGCCAGGGTCTGGAAGCCAGTGGAACGCCAATCGTGGGTCGGCCATGGATATCACCGTCGCCCTCAGCAGATAAGGAAGCCCCCAGGGTCTGAAGCCTCCTGGGCACATTCCTTAACAAACGCCACAGCCGCATGGCTGCCGCGTTCCCTGGCCCATGCTTCTGCTAAGCACCCTGCAGCTAGCTTGAGCACGACACCTGCTCATGCCGCCGTTGCGCACGCGCGCGCCTGCCTCGTCGGCACACTGCCAGCCCGCCTCCTCCGTACCTCGTTCCTTGCTCCTCCAGGACCATGCCCACACGGATGACTACGGGCCCGCGGATCTGTGACACCGCCTCCCGAAGCATGAGGGCCACTGTCACTGCCGCCTGCTCTGGCGGCAGAGTGCGCCGATGTCGTCCGGAGTGGGACCCGTCGCCAATCCGCGCGCTTCCTCTTGTTGACGGCGCGCTTGAGGGGGGTAGGGAGAGGGGGGCAGGCTTCTTAGAAGGAGGCTGCTTCGTAGAAGGCGCGGGCCCTGTCTATGGATGTAAGGTCCGCGTCTCTTAAGAGGCGGGGGCGCTTCTAAGAAGCCTTCCCCCCCCCACCCCCTACGCCCATCTGCGCGTGGCCGATCTTGGTCCTGACTTCCTCCTTGATGCGTGCTGGCGCTTCCTCGACCCCTGCCCCCCGGTCCTGCCTTCCCTTCCGCCCCCCTGCATCCCGAGCCCCCCCCCCTGCGTCTCGTCTCGTTCCCTCGGCTCCGCTGCCCTGAAGAGCGAGCAGCACACACCCAGACCCACAGGAGTGTCGGACCCCAGGGGGCGCTCCCGTGCGAGCGGGGACCCCGTCCGACAACACGCGCCCGTAGCCCCCTCCGTCCCTACCTATGGGCGAGAGTGTGTGTGTGTGTGTAGTTCGTTCGTCCTCCCCGGCGCCGCACTCGGGGGGCTCGCGGACCGCTATTATTGGCAGCAGGTCGTCATCACCCACAGGCCGCGGAAGATCCATCACCCTGGGGCGGCGGCACTGGCGCTGGCGAACTCCAGGCGAACGCATGGGTCGCAGTGCTGACTCCGACTGCAATAGTGCAGCATCGTGCGCAACAGCGCCGCTCGGATGTGGCGTGCAATCCCACCTGGAACGAACGGCAAAAACGTGTCACACTCTGCCGTGTATGCTTCATGCTCCATCATGCCTGCTGACTTGGCACCACGCGTGACATCAAAGGAGCAACACACATGTATCATCGTTCGGGCAAATGTTGTACAGCCCCTTCACGCCGGACTCCCCCCGCAACCTCAGACAAGCGCCACGGCCCTCTTGTTTCTGCTCCCGCTGTTGCGCAATCACGCTCGGTCGCAATCACACTTTATGGCATGGCAGCAGTCTCCAGGCACTGCCGGTGATAAAACGTAGCCAGACGTCAGCGGAACAAAATGCACCTGGCCCGAGCATCGGGAGAGAAACCTGACCCCCAAGAGATGTAGGCAACGACAGAAGCAGCCCACTCGGTCTGCACTGCTGTACCGCACAAGAGCCAGCTCAGCGACGCTGCGCTGGCGGTGCTGCCAAGACATGCGGTCAAAGTGCGAAGGGACAGCAGGAAACGGCAGATGGGAGCGAGCGAGCGTCCATCCAGTCCTACTGTGGGTAGGGCCGCGCCCATCAGGGCTGAACGGGCAGGACCGTTGCCCACGGGGTCAAGCGTGGTGGACGAGAGCGGGGGGGGGGGCGAGAAGGGAGGAGGGAGAGAGAGAGAGAGAGAGGAACGGGAGGAAGAGGGGGAAGCGGTGGAGCAGGGGAAGGGGGGGTGGGGGGAAGAGGGAAGAGGGAAGAGGTGTGAGGACGAGCGGGGGGAGGGGGGAAACAGGGGGACGGAGGACTGTGGGCGGCTTGGCTCGGGCGGAGCCTGTGGTGTATGGCTGCGCCTTCTTGACAACGAAGTCGGGCAAGGCAAGCCGCCCAGCGCAGAAGCGAGGGAAGGAACGGGGGGTGGACGAGGGGAAAGGGGAAGAGGCGGGGGGGAGGAGCAGAAGCAACGGGGAAGCGGAACGGAGGGCATCGCTTCCACAAGCGGCCCGGCGCATCGCGAGCTGTTCGAACCGCTGGGGCAATCGGACCGATCGGTGCGAAGGCCATCGGCGGAGGGAGGGAGGCCGCCCATCAGTGGTGCGCGAGGACATCCATCGACACCAAAGGCGAGCAGCGGCAATCACCATCAAACCCGATCGAACCGTGGACAACTCTGATCGGCGGCGAGTCAAAGGGGGGGGGGAAGTGAGAAGGAGGAGACCCTCTCACAAGGTTCGGAAGCCCCCGCCGTGCCTCCTGCGAAGCTTCCGATGCCCAGGAGGCGCAGAAAACTCGCCAGCAGGCGCGAGGGCTTCTGATGAACCCCGCCGCCTTCAAGAGGAGGTCTTCTACTTCTCACCTCACACCCTCGCTCGCCGCCGAGCTGAAACAAGATGGACGGGCGACACTTGGCCGTCACCGACCCCACTGGCGCTGCTTGCTCTTGGGATGTGGAACGGTGGGAGACCGGTGCAGGCCAAGGGCCGCGATATTCCAGACAGGAGCGGACGCGCGGGAGCGAGAGCCCGGGGAGAGATGCTCGCACCCGAATCCTACGGCCTGCGACAGGCTGGTCACTACTCCTTGCCAGCCCACATGACAGCAGCCTCCGACACCAGAGGCATCTCGCAGAGCCGCTGTTTTGGGCATGCCCCACCCTCTGCACATCCTTCATCGCGCCCCCCCACCTCCGTTCCCAGCCCTCCTGCGCTGACCCTAGGGGAACAAAAAGTGACATAAACACAAAAACTCGGAGGTCCGCGCGGATTTCTCGGATCGGCGCTGGACCCCCCTCCCTGGCGCGCGGAGCGCGCCAAGGGCGGCGCCGGAGGCGCCGCGGGGGGGGCCCCAGCGCCGATCCAAGAAACCCGCGCGGACCTCCGAGTTTTTGTGTTTATGTCACATTTTATTCCCCTAGACCCTCCCCCCGCCCCCTCCTCCTCAGTTCCCGCTCGCCTCCCCCGCCGCCTTCCCTCTCCCCAGCGGGGGCGCCCCGGAAGGAGCGGCGGGCACGAGGGACGGGGCTTCGCAACAAGTCAAGGGCCCGGGGCACGTGCGCGGCCAATGGGGAGGCCACCGCACAGAAGATCGGCACGGGGAAAAAGGGCCACGGCATCCGGGGACATCCTGGGGAAACCAAGAAGTACCTCCTCCTCCTCCTCCTCCTCCTCCTCCTCCTCCTCCTGCTCCTGCTCCTCCTCCTCCTCCTCCTCCCTGGACCTCTCCAGGGGTGCGCTCTGACCAGAATTCCGAGGTGAATCCCGCGGTGGTGACGAGGGCCCGCCCAGCGGCCCGACAAAGGGAACACTAAGGAAGGAAGGGAAGCGGCATTGGTCAGGAGCCAACCACTGGGAGGTCTTCGTCGGAGGGGTTAAACATATGAAGCCCCATTGGGGGGGCATCACGCCGGATTCGGCCGCGGAAAAAAAAAGCGGGATTGCGCCAGACTTAGCGGGATTATGCCGAGCTTTTTTTTTTTGTTTATATATATATATATATAAAACATGCCGGAGTCAGCCGGATGTCGGACCTGGGCAACATCAGAACGTGGCCTCCCAGGAGCTGTATATCCGAATCCTCCGAAAGAGATCGTGGCCCTGGCCACGATACCCCCCCCCCCCCGAGCTCATCCCCCCCCCCCCGGTGGACGCCCCCCAGTCCCTCCCCCCGCGCGCCGCCCGCGGACCCTTCAGAGAGGACGCTCGCTGTTCCGTCGTCCTTCTCTGGTTGACCCCCAGAAGGGGGGTCCAACTGACAGTTTTTTGGTCGGCGGGTCGAGAGCGGGCCTCTTCCGGTTAAGAGCTGGGCGGGGCGCGCGAAGCACTAACTGGGGAGACAGGGCGCGGGCGGGCGGGGCCTCAGGCGGCCGGAGGGTGCGGAGAACAGGGGGTGCCGAAGAGCTTGCACAGGAAAAGGTACGCCTTGGACAGGAGCCGGGGGGGTCCAGCTGACAGGGGGTGGTGCAACATATCTGGGGCAAGTATATTGCAAATCTACTGCGCCGCCGGAGAACTAGATTGCAGTTGTACTGCAACCGATGCACAATGCACGTGGCAGTTCAGCAATACGTTTGCGCACCAGGATGCACTGCATATGCCCCAATGCTGGCCGTCTGAATTCGGAAAGCGGGCTTCTGAATCCAACAAACCATGCTGGCTTGTCGAATTCACGAAACTTGCACCCCCACGAATCTATTGCACCGAATCTGTTGCACCACCCTCTCTTTGCTGGACCCCTCCGTGGGTTAACCTGGACCCTGCTCCCTGCCCACCCGACGGTAGAGTCCCGCACGAAACCGCACGGCGACTCTGCGCCCCGTCGGGCGCTCGCGTTGCCAAGATTTTTGCCCCTGGCCCTCCTCGAGCATCGAGGATGGACTCTGGACGTTTTTGATGGGCCCATTTTCAACCACCACTACCACCATAGGTAGGAGAGGGAGGAAAGGGAGGAGGCGGAGGAGGAGGAGAAGGAGGAGGAGAAGGAGGAGGAGGAGGAGTGCCAAACTCTGGTGGTGGAGAATCTGCCCATCGGTTTTTGTCGGATGGTCCTGGGACGCGCTCGGCCCTTCCCAGGGACCTCTGCGCACCTCCCGGGGACAAACCGGGGGTCGGAATCTCTGGGGATGGGGGGCCAGAGCTTACCGGTTTTGTGTAACCTCGCAGCGGCCCTTATGCGCCCCGTTGGCATTTCTGAAGGGGCCCTGGGACACACAAATGAATGCACACTGATAAAAAGATTCCCCATGTTTTCCTATATTTTCTGGGTTTCTGTCTTCCCCCCACTTCCCATATTTCCCCGCATTTTCCTGGGAGTCGACAGTGAATTGTGTCTGTGTGTTTTTTCCCCTCCTGAACCTCGAGCCCACGAGCTCCCCGCGTCTCAACTGTCAACGGTGCACGCCGGGTCGCCCAACGCGGGCGGCACAAATCCCACACGGAAAGACGCCGCCTCGACCTGAACCCGGAGAACGAGCTTCGCCGAGTGTGCAACTTGCGGGGTAATCATGGGTCCCGGCATGACTTCTACCCGCATGCGACGGAGAAATACCTAGGCAATGCCTACACACTGGCTTAGACAAAACTCAGCTTTGGCAAGCACAATGAGCTTCACCATCCACATCCCAGCCATCGATGCGCTCTCATTGCAGCCCCACCGCCCAGCAACCCCTTCTCTTCCTCTTGTGCCCTTTCTTATCGTCCTTCTCCTTTTCTCCTACTCCTCCTTCTTCTCCACCTCCTCCCCATCCTCCTCATCCTCCTCCTTCGCCCTCCCCCCCGCGAGAGAAATATCGAGATCCTTCATCGTTCTCTTCAGCAGAGCATTCGCGCAGCACCACAGGACCAACACCAGGATGAACAGGAAGATCGAGTTCATACTTTAGGGGAGCGAGAATGCAAATTTTGCTGAGGGAGAGACGAAGGGATGATGGCGAGGATACGTACCTATGCTACTTTGTGACTTGCCCTCTGGGGGCTCCCAGCAGGGCCTCGTCACCACGGCTGCAGTCGCCCGAATGTCCAGAGCAGAGAGCGCTCCAACAGAGCTCCGTGGACGGCTTTGAGAAGGAAGGGGGAATGGAGGGACATGTTGTGAAACGCTGGAGTCCCCGCTGAATGCGAAGAGGGCGATACGTATATACAACGACTGGCTCGAGCAGAAGAGGCATGCAATCATGGAACACAACATTGGACATCGAAACATACAGAACAAGGGCACGGGTTAAATCACGCATCTCCCCCTATCACCTGCCAGAAGCTGCTAAGACATATGCTTGTGCATGGCTGCTATGGTGCAAGCTGTGCGACGGCGACTGCAAACTATACCTACTCAGGGAGTAAGGCGAACCATCGAAACGTCGACAGGCCAGGCTAGGCTTGACCAGGCTATATCAGAATCGACCAACTGGGCCTGGCCAGGCATGGCCTGGATGAGCGCGCCGCAGTAGGTGCTCAATGACACCGCGTCCTATATAGCATGCAATCGCCTTACTCCAAAGCCTGCTCCACTGTATGCTCGACTACCCACTTGCAAAATCCCACAGGTCCAAAAGCCAAGGGGGGGGGGGGGGCTGCCGGAAACTGTCCGCAACCATGGGTGGGCCCTTACCCACACGTGTCGGGTCCAGTCTTCGGCCCTGCCGAGCCATGAGCAGCGCATCTAATGGAGCTGCGGTAGAGGGAAACAATGACTGAACACCCCCCCTCCCCCCCAAACTCAACGCTGGCACGCGCGGGGGAGACTGCGGTCGAAATGCATCTCATCAGACCCACACCCAACTTTGAACATCGGGGGGAGGGGGAGGCGTTGGCGGATGAATGTGGCATGTGTTCGCTGATTTGTTCCGAGGCCTGTGCCGTGCGCCCCGTCCAAGGAGGGTGCCGTGCAAGTGGCTCTGCTATGGCACCGCCGAGCGCTGGCCAACCAAGCAATGGCCTGCAAAGAACCCTTACCGTGCACCTGACGCTGGCCATCGTTCGGACGTCCATTCCCTGCGTTTTTGTTCGGTTGCGTGCGTGTTTATTTCGCAAGATGGTCGAGGATGCTCCTCGAAGGTCCTCGCCGAGAAAAAAAAAGGGCACACGTCCGAGCGATGCCAAGGACGAGCCTCCGGAGAGCGGCCCCAGCAGGAAGCCACTAGGCTGGGTGGGGGGGGCAGAGCTGCGGGCCCCCTTGATCT